ACCCCGCCCACAGCGCCCACAGCGCCCACAGCGCCCACAGCGCCCACAGCGCCCACAGCGCCCACAGCGCCCACAGCGCCCACAGCGGAGGAAAGCTCGCCCTGGGGGGGAATGCAGTACCAGCTTGGGGTGGGGGGCCCTCATGCTTTGCTAAGCATAGGCACAGTGTATTCGAGGACTTGGGGGAGCTCACCTGTGTCCAGGAGGGCAGCCCGGGGGAGCGCCCAGGCCACGCCAGGGAGCCACGGCCATGAAGTTTCCACTTTACCACTTTTGGTCTCAGACACAGCTGTTCACACCAGGAACACTGAGGACAGGACAGAACACCAGACACCCCCACGGTGGTCAAGAAAGCCAGACTCTTTCCCCGCCCTGCTTGCCAAAAACTCGGTTCCCTCTGGCTGGCTTCCCCCTGTTGCTCCCTCCAAACACGCAGCCTCTCGGGTCGGAATCTGCTGGAGCTGTTTGCAGCTGTGCTTCCCGGCTCTCGCATCTACTCACCGGGGAATGAATGGGGGGCCCAGAGAATCCGAGCCCTGGCAGGAGTGCCCAGGAACCCTCGGGAAGAGCAGAGCCTGGTGGTGCGCCCACCCTCCTTTTCTGCCAGCCTTGCTCCTGCCCAGCAGATGGTTGCATTTGGCCTGGTGGGGTTCTAGGATCCATACAATCGGCTCAAGTCCCCTTCTCCAGGAAGCCTTCCCTGATTGCTCCTACCCTCCCAGCTTCCACCACCCAGAGAGTCTGAGCCCCACACACCTGTTCTTATTCACATCCAGGTTATGGCTCTTCCCTGGGGATCTCCCTAACATTTCTGGGGCTCTCCAGGGACAGGAAGTGGGCCCCTCACTTTTATTCATGCTGCCTCCTCCCCAGAGCACAGAGGAACACAGACTAGTCACAACAGGAGGACATTTCTTCCCTGCCTTCAGGAAATTCCTTTCAGGACCTAAGTGGAGACTGGCAGGAAGGTGCTGCAGTGGGTAATGGGAAATCCTGCTTTCCGGGTGCAGTACCAGGGGCCGGGGGAAATCTGCTTCTTCTCCGGAACCTCATCCAGGGAGCATGCTCAGCCCAGCCAGGATCCTTGGCCGTGTCATTCTGCCACCTGGTGGCTAGCTTGAGTATTGCGCATCTCCGCTCCCCCATTGCCTGCAATCCCGTGTCCCTTCAGAAGTCACACAATGATCGACTCCTTACTGCCACAGAGGGGGGTGCTGATGCCCTGAGGAGGGTAGGGTTTGCCAGTCTAGAGATTGGCCCAGGAACCCTCACTGTAGCCTCAGTCCAGGGATCCCCGTGGTGGAAGAGACTAGAAAAGTGCAGGAATTTGAGGCTCCAGTTGAACTAGAAAGAAGAAGCCAACTCCAAGCCATAGATGAAACCTCTATGGAAGGGACAGACAAGTCACATGACTGAACTTCTACCGCTGCCAGCACCACAAACTCACTGCTAACACTGCTAACTACCACTGACACTAACCCCTCCTGACTGCTAACACTGCTAACTACCCACTGACCATAACCTCTCCTGACTGCTAACACTGCTAACTACCACTGACACTCACCCTCCTGACTGCTAACTACCCACTGACCATAACCTCTCCTGACTGCTAACACTGCTAACTACCACTGACACTAACCCTCCTGACTGCTAACTACCACTGACACTAACCCTCCTGACTGCTAACACTGCTAACTACCACTGACACTAACCCTCCTGACTGCTAACACTGCTAACTACCACTGACACTAACCCCTCCTGACTGCTGACACTGCTAACTACCCACTGACCATAACCTCTCCTGACTGCTAACACTGCTAACTACCCACCGACACTAACCCCTCCTGACTGCTAATACTGACTGCTAACTACCCACTGACCATAACCCTTCCTGACTGGTAATACCGCTAACTACCACTGACACTAACCCATTCTGGCTGCTAACACGAATACTAATAGCAGTTGAACTGTGAGACACCACTTAACTATCAGGCTGGCAAAGGTATTAATGACACTAAAGAGGTAGAAAATAGCACTCACACACCAATTTTTCCTGGAGGCAATTTGCCAACAGGCATTAGAAAGACTTGTCGTGCCCTGGCCGGTTTGGCTCAGCGGTTACAGTGTCGGCCCGCAGACCAGAGAGTCCCGGGTTCGGTTCCTGCCAAGGGCATGTACCTCGGTTGCAGTTTGTCCCCAGCCCGGTTGGAGTCGTGTGGGTGGCAACCACTCGATGTGTCTCTCTCACATCCATGTTTCTCTCTCTCTCTTCCTCCCCTTTCCCCCCTCCTGCTCTGTCTGAAGATAAATGCAAAAATGTCCTCGGGTGAGGATTAAAAAAAAAAAAAAGCTTGTCGTGTGAATGACATTGGCTCCAAATGTTTAGGCCTAAGAGTTTATTCAGAGGTTTTCTCTTCTGGAGCTGTACACGAAGAATTGTATTCAAGAGAGTTTATTACAAACATTTATTAAAAGACGGAGCAACCTCCACCGATAGAGCTAACCCATACTTATCAGCTAAGTAGGAATATCAGTTGACTTCACAAATCGTGTCGCAGACGGAAGGTTCGCGTGCTCTGCGCCAACCATCACTCTCTCTCTGAGAACAGTCGGACTGAGATGTAGTCCACGCCATACATTTCACCAGCTTCGTGGATTCGCCCACTCTGGACATTTCACATAGATGGAATCACACCGTATGTGGCCTTTTGGGACCAACTTCTCTCAGCATAATGTTTTCAGGGTTTATCCACATTGTATCATGTATCAGAATTCGATTCTTTTTTATCATAGAATAATATTTTATTATGGAGATACCTCACTTTGCTTACCCACTCACCAGTTGGTGGACACTGGGCAGTTGTGAAGAATGCAGCTACGGACACGCCTGTACACAGCATCGTGTTCCAGTCTGCTTGCCCGCAGACGGAGGAGTGGTTTCCTGGGGCCTGTGCTAACTCACTGGGACTTTCGAGGGCTGCCAGACTCTTTACCCAGGCATCTGCACCGTGTGACACTCCCACCAGCAATATAAAAGGGTTCCAATCTCTCCACATCCTCATTAACACCTGTGTTCGCCTGTTTTTTTGTCCATTTTAGCCATCCTAGTGGGTGTAACATGGTATCTCACTGTGGTCTTGTTTTGCATTTTCCCAGTGACTAATGATACTGAGCATCTTTTCATGGACCCATTGGCCATTTTTAAATTGTGTATGTTCATTTTAAGCATAAGAAACAAGATACAAATTTATGAATATAATATGCTTAATATGCTCTCAAGATGTTTCAAAATGTATCAATTTTTTTTTTTTTTTCAGAAAGCATACAAAAATGTCAGTGGTGATTATCTTCGGGTAACGAGGGTATGGCTGCTGGTTTTTATTTTCTCTTTTCATCTCTTCTCTGTCTCCTAAATGCACTGCAATGAGCATGAACTACTTTCATGATCTGAGACTGAAGGGCGGCATGCTTGGTAGGGTTTGTAGACTGGGGTCGCACCCAGACATCTGTGTGCCCAGGAAGGCGCTGGGCCATTGGGCCACACAGCCAACAGTGTGACTGTGGGTTTCCTATGCTGCCTCTCCTTTCAGTGGAACCATGACTGCAGGGAGGAGGGTGTCCATCCGAGGAGGGATGGCAGGGAGGCTCCCTGGGGCCACGGAAGGGGCTGAGTTTCGGTGCAGATCTGCTTTGGGGAGACCAAGGAAGGGAGGGATTTTGGTCTGACTGCAGTGTCGCTGTCTCCCTGCTCTCTGTCCTGAAATCTCCCTCAGCCCCCATCAGTCCACAAATACGTCCCCAAGGACAGTGCCCAGTCTCATTTTCCCCCCTCCTGCCAAGGAATAGGGTGGGGGAGGGGCTGGGGAGGGGTGGACCGTGACGAGGGGCCGCCTTGGACACACAGTGGAGAGGACAGAAGGGAAAGACTTAGAACTGAGGAAGCTCCACCCTAGAGAAAAATATGCGAGGGGACCTCAGCAGTTTCCAGAAAAATGAACCCAAAAGGCACACAGGCCCAGGGAGAGATGCTCTCTCGCTAGTCATCAGGGAGACGCAAATGAAAACAACTGAGACGGCACTTCACGCCGTCTGACTTGCAGACGTTGAAAAGCCGGCACCGCCAAGTGTTAGCGGAGCCGCTGGCGGGAGCGTGGGCTTCGCAGGCGTCTGCCCCCACTGTCACGGTAAGAAAAGCCACAGCGGATGACCAGGAGCTTCTGCTCACAGGTGCACGAGGGGACCGGATGTGAGTGTTCACCTAGAGGGAGGGGGAGACAGGGCGGCTCACACGGGGGCAGTGGCACCCCGTGGCACCCCGTGGCACCAGACAGCTGTCAAAACAAGGGACACAGGGCACTGGGGCATCTCTACACCCAGCGCGGAGGGAAAGGCGTTAGAAGCCGATGTCGGGCACATAGCTGACAGCCTGCGTGTGTTACGTTAAAAGGACAGACACACAAAACACTCCATATTTCGCCGGAACACACAGGAACGCCAATATTCACAATAAACACATTTGAATGTTTGCCTGTGGGAGGGGAATGGGAGTGGAGTTGTAAACAAGGGAGGATCGATGTGAAAGTAAATTAAACAAGCAGATGCCCGCACAGACAAGCAAATGGGGGTGGTGGCATGAGAACTGAGGAGTGCTGTGCCCCGTGCCCCGGAGGCCGAATGGAGGCTGCGGATCCGTCACCTGTGTGGCCCGGGTCTCCGCTCACAAGGACACCTATTCATCTGCTAGTTTACTGGCTCCTCCGGGCGTTGGCCACGGCCCAGATGCTATGAGGAGGCACATGAGAAGAACAGAGACGGAGGGACCAGGGAAGTCAGAGTTAGACACGCAGGGAACTGGGCGGAAGGGTCAGGGACGGGACAGGGCAGGAGGGCTGGCAGCAGCCTGGGCGAGCGTGCGAAGCGAGGGCTCCCGGAGGCGCTGGTCCTCCAGCACGTGGCGGGCCGGGCTCGGGTGAGGCCTCCAGGGACAGGAGGTAGCCGGCCTAGCACACAGATGTCAGCACCCTCGTCCCTGAGCGGAAGGGCGCCGTCCACTCGGCGTGGGTCCTCCGGGCTGGCAGAAGCTCAGGGTTAAGGCCGCGCCATCTCCGCGAGAGCTCAGTCCTCACCTCCAGAGACAGGGGGAGAATGTCAGAAAGGTCCCGCGGCCACTTCTGTACCCCACCCCAGGGGACCCGAGAGTGCGGGCGGACCCCACGGAGGAGAAACGGAGACGGGCTCCGGGCGGGCGGAGCCGTGGCCGGCCGCGGCTAAGTACTGCCTCTGCGGGTTCCCACTTGCTCCCCCCGGGCAGTCTGGCCTCCATCTCCCAGTGCCGCCTCCGTCCCGGCCCAGACAAAGACATTCGTGGGTGCTGTCTCGAGTTTCTGGCCAGATAACTACCCCGTCCTCCTCGAATAGCTTAGACCACCTGCTCTGGGGTTCAGCCCTGCCCTGGGAGCCCTGCCCGGGGAGCTGCCCTGAGGGGACCCACCTCCCCTGAGGGTCTGCAGTGGAAAGACAGAGAGTAATAGAAAGAAAAGCAGCCAGGGAGGTGCGGCGGGCAATGTCCTATCTCCAGGTCTCCAAGGGGCTGTCAGGAACGCGGGAACGAGAGGCCGTGGCCTGCCTGACAGCTGACCGTGGGCGGTGGTGAGAGACAGAAGGAAGACGGGTTTCTGCTCAACATCAAGGCCAGCTGTCTGGCCACAGAAAGGGCTGTTCATAGGTAGTAAGCTCCCCATCACCAGAAGTATGTAACTATCTGGTCCCCGACACTGCCTCCTGGTACAGAGGCCTTTACAACTCTCTGTGGAATCCCCTTTCCCAGGCCCCGCCTCGGCCAGGGCTGCACCTCGCCTCTCCCGGCACCCCCAGGCCCGTCGGCCACCGCACCCAGACACTGCAGTCCGGAGTCTGGCGTCAGCGGACTGTGAGTGAGGAGCGTCAGCGGAGAGGGAGCCGGTCAGACACGGAGGTGGTGGGTGAGGGGAGAGCAGTGCCCCAGGGCTGGGGGGCAGGCACCTGCACCCTGGTCTCCAGCAGAACGCAGAGCCCACAGCAAACCCATGGCCACTAGAGGGAGCCCGTGGCCCTGCCTGTGCCCACAGCACCAGGCCTGGCTTCTGGGGCACTGAGTTAACCTCTCCCGCCTCTCCCCACAAAGCAAGTCGGTCCGAAGGTAAAAATGCAAGGTGTCTCCCGGGGGGGATGTTTTAACTGGATCTTCTTTGCCATCTCTCCATATGTCTACATGTGCACTGACACCATCATTCCGTCTGTTCTGGGCACGGCCACCTCTGTCTGGGCTGTGCTTTGTGTCTCTTCCAGGCGTGCGCTCTCTGTGTCCCCGGCTCTGCTCTCCCTCGTCCTCCCTGTGTCTACATCCAACTCTTTTCCTAGGTCCCTGTAAGTCTACCTCTGACTGTCTTAGTGCCTCTGTCTTTCTTCTGGTTCTCTTCTGGAGCTGGCTTATTCCGTCTCCCACTCTCCCTTTGTTCAGTCTTAGAAACACAGAGCCCACCCCTGGGTCCCTCTTCTGGTCCTAAAAGGCCTCCTCTGCCCCCTGCTGAGTGGAGAGTAAACTTGGCCCCGTCCAGAGGAGGGATGGGTAAAAGATGTTTATAGGAAGCATTCAGGTTCAGAAGTTTAGGACAGACTCCTACGAAGAATCACAGGAGTCAAGGTTTGGCCTGAGCTGGGATTGGCAGGGTCTGAGCTGGAGATGGAACCTCTGGACAGGGGAGGAAAGGCCAGTGCGTTAGGAGAGCTTGGCGAGCCACGTACCTCTTGGTTGAGGAAGCAATACAGGACGGCAACCATGAAGCCCTGTGGGGCGAGGAGAAGGACCATCAGAACACTTTGTCCTGGCCGCAAGGACAGGTGGTCTCTCTACAACCTTTCCACCTGCCTGTCCCCCAGGCTGCGGCGTGAGCCAGGTCTTTGAGAAAAGGGAAGGTAGCTGCATCTGCACTACGGGCCAGGCCACTGCCTCAGGTAATCATTGTTGCAAGCCTCCCAAGTCTGTCATGTTGGTCTTATTTCTTTGATTTTCTTTATCTGTGCATCCCCAGTATTGAGCATAGAGCTTGGCATCTGACAGGTGCTCAATAAGTGTTGAATAGATTGGATGAGTGGATGGATAGGTGGGTTGGTAGAGAGATGGGTATAGATTGATGGATGGATGGTTGGATGGATGGATGGATGGATGGATGGATGGATGGATGGATGGTTGGATGGATGGATGGGTGGGTGGATGGATGGATGGTTGGATAGATGGGTGGGTGGGTGGGTGGGTGGGTGGGTGGATGGATGGATGGATGGATGGATGGATAGGTGGGTGGGTGGGTGGGTGGATGGATGGATGGATGGATGGATGGATGGATGAATGGATAGGTGGGTGGATGGATGGTTGGATAGATGGGTGGGTGGGTGGATGGATGGATGGATGGATGGATGGATGGATGGATGGATAGGTGGGTGGGTGGGTGGATGGATGGATGGATGGATAGGTGGGTGGGTAGATGGATGGATGGATGGATGGATGGATGGATGGATGGATGGATGGATGGATAGGTGGGTGGGTGGGTGGGTGGATGGATGGATGGATGGATGGATAGGTGGGTGGGTGGGTGGGTGGGTGGGTGGATGGATGGATGGATGGATGGATGGATGGATAGGTAGATGGATGGATAGGTAGATGGGTGGGCAGATAGGTACATGGGTAGTTGAATGAATAGGAAGATGGACAGATGGAAAAGGGACAAATAACTGACTAAATAGATGAGACTGTAAGGAAGACTAGCCAGTTCAGCAGCCCTCACCCACCGGGAAGTCAGTCGAGCCTGGGCAGCAGCATCTTCCTTCTGCAGAGGACTCAAAGGGGAGGTGCCTACAGAGGCCTCACCTGAAAGGAGCCCAGCCCCAGCTCCAGGGGGAGGCGGACGCCCAGGCCAGCACTGTCAGGTAGGAAGTTGAAGATGATGTAGTGAATGCCAAACAGCGGGATGAGGAGAAGGGTTGACTTAGAGAGACGCCTGCAGGAAAGGAGAAGCCTCAGGTCCCCAAGGCTAGACTTCCAAACATCTACCTGCCCCCTGTCTACTCTGACTTCCCACCAGCTCTGCATAGGAACTCCGCACCCTGGAGAACTCCATCCTCCCCTCATGCACTTTGGGCTCCCTTACTCTGGACCCTTGGGTCCTACTATTCCTTGTGCCAAATCCTCTTGTCTCAATTTATTCCAGTCAAAGTCTATGTATCTTTCAAAGTGCAGTTCAAAGGCCACTTCCTCCAGGAAGTCTTCCCTGACCATCCCCATCCCCACTCCCCATCTAGAAATGGTCTCCTTCAGCAGACTCTTAGAAATCGACCCCAGGATCCATTAGCCTATTTGGCCTGGCAACTGACTGTGTGGAGCGTCTGCCCTTCCCACCCTGTGATCTGGAAGGCACGGACCAGATCTGTTCTGTCTCTGGGAACGTGGGAGGAGCCTGAGCCAGGACCATGGATGCCTGACTGTGATAAAGCAGAACCACACTGACTCCTGCTCCAGCCATGTCCCAGAATCCCCCATACGTGCGTGCACATTACCAGTACTGAGACTGGGCATGGAGGCTGCCCTGAGCTGGCTCCAGTTTCCTCAGCAGGATGCGAATAATATTGAGAAAAAGCCCAAAGTTCACCTGGAAACAGAGGTGCAGGAAGGTAGACGGCAAGGGTCAGGGGATGGCCCCGTGGCCTGGGGTGAGGCCTCTTCGGGAACTAGAAGCCTCAAGTCCTTGAGACACAGGCTGTGCAGGGGGATGGATGTACAGATCACTGTTCTAGAACTTGTAGCCTGGAGACCGGGAAGTCCCACCTGCCCAGTTGAGAGGGCAGGGGTTCAGGGTCACCCACCCCTTCCATTCTGTGAGCCAGGGTGAGAGGTCAGGCCTTGCCATGCTGCATTCAGCACCTCCCAGGGGTTTCTCTGGCACAGTGCCCTCTGGCACAATGCCCTGGCCTTCATTTTGCACGGTGGCTGAACTGGGGAAATGGGCACATTCACAAGGCCATGCGAGCCGGTCCAGACCACCCTGCTTCCTCGTGGGAGCGGGCGGTGGGTTTCTGCAGCGGCCTCGGCCCTTGCCACCCAACCTCTCCCTGCGGCCGTAGATGAGCTACAACCAGAGCTCCAGATTCATCAACTCTGAGCCTGAAGGGGCCTGAGCGCTGATCGAGACCACCCCCTGGTTTTACCAGTGGGATTGAGGTCCAGAGAGGGCCTCACAGCCTGTTTCCTACTGTGTATGGCCCCTTGGAGGGCCCAGGGTGGTTAGCTGAATTAAACAAGAGGACACTGGCCCCAGGGACAGACCGCAACAGAGAGGACGATGGGCCCTTTGATGATCCACCAGTAGGGGGAGCTGTCGTTCAGGTCCCAGCACCTAGGGAGAGGACAGACCAGGAATGAGGCTGGAGCCCTTTTTGTGGTAACCCCGTGCACCTCCTCCCACCCGCTACCCACGGCCTCCTGACTCCCGGCTCTGGCACTAGAGCCTCCCAGCCGCCCCCCACCTTCCCTGGAACCTATCCTGTCTCTCAGAGAGTTGGGCCCCTTTTAGAGAAGCACCCCAACCCATGCTGGGCTCACCCATTCTCTCCATCTAGGTGGATAAACTTCTGAAAAATCAATCCATTTGCTGATTTCTTGCTGGTGCCAACACCTTCCTTGTTCCAAGAGGCCCCATTTACACCCACCTCTCCCCCCGCCTCGCCCTGAGCCCCGAAGTCCTAAGAATCTGAGGCCCGGCCACCCAGGCTCCTGTCCTCCTGTGCTACCCACAGAAGGCTTCCCCATCTGCCCCGCTCCCAGCCTGGGAGTCCCTGAAGGCGGCCGGGCTCCTCCTCTCCCCAGCTTGGAGAACAGCCATGTCGCCTCAGAGTCCAGCCCACGCCCCAAGGGGACTCACGCAACATCCTCGAAGGCCAGCTTGCAGCCCACCCACGTGCCAGTGAAGAGCAGAGGAAGCCCTGTGGGGCACAGAGGGGACACGAGGAGGGGTCGACGTCCCGTTTGGAGATCTGCCCCATCTCGCACCACCATGCCCACCGCACCGGGCACCGTGAGGGCGGGACCAGGCGAGAGCCCGGAGACCTTCTCCAGCTCTTGCTGTAGGGTTACTGACGGCTTCCCCTCTCTGGGCTTCGGGTCGTCTCACTGAGCTTAGGGGTCCTTTGTGTGAACTCCTGGGCGTTCCCTCCACCTCACCCAAGGTGCAGCCCTCAGGACTCACCCCAGCCAGTGAGAACCAGCCACCAGAAGGCCCTCCTGGTGCTGGGCGACGGGGAGGCCAAGAGGCAGGTCAGATAGGCAGCTTCTGCCAGCAGCCAGCTGAAGTTGGTCATGGTGGCGAAGTGGGAGGCGGCCACGGAGACCTTGCACAGAGCCTGCGGGCCGGGTGGGTGCTCCTGAGCCGGGACCCACCGCAGCCCCTCGGTCTCCCTCCCCCACCCAGGCCCCTCCACCTCGCTGCCCCAGGGACACAGTAATACAGCGTGGTGGTTAAGAGCACAGATGTGGGATCTGATGGCCCGGGTTCAAATTGACCATTTATTCGCTGGGTCACCTCCCACACCTTAGCTTTGCATCTGCTAAAGGAAAACTTCTGGGACCGATGTCACGGCCTCCCCATGAGGACTAAACGGAAACTGTGTGATGGTCACTTTCACCCCATCTTCCCTGAGCTGTGGTCGGGAGCACCGGCCCCCACGCCGCGTCCCTTCCTGCGGGGCTCACTCCTCTGCCAGGTGAGGAGCGCCGCCTGGAGCGCAGGGCCCAGTCCCCCCACTATGCGGCCGATGCCATTGCCAATTGTCCCTCATCTACAAATGGGGCTAAAATGGAAATACAGGTAGGGAAGAAAAGGTGATAATACATGCGAAGCATTTAGTATAATACCCAGCACATAGGTGCTCAATATGCATTATTATTATTATTATTTTTTTTTTTTTATCCTCACCCGAGGATATTTTTCCATTTTTTGTACAGATAGAATGGGCGGGAGAGAGAGGAAGGGAGAGAGAGAGAGAAACATCGACGTGAAGGGACACATCGAGTGGCTGCCACCCGCACGACCAACCAGGGCCGGGGACAAACCGCAACCGAAGTACGTGCCCTTAGCGGGAACCGAACCCGGGTCTCTCTGGACCGCAGGCCGACGCTCTAACCGCTGAGCCAAACTGGCCAGGGCTGCATTATTATTATTATTATTATTTCGTTTATTAATTAATTCATTGATTGGTTTGCTCATTCTCTTTTCTGTTCATTTCCAGCACAGTCTACAGGTGCCTTCCGAGGGCTGGGCCTTCACACTCTGCCCACTTCCTTTTATTTCCAGTCTCCCCTAATTCTCCCATCTCCCCTCCGCCGGGATGACTCCCCTGTTTCTTGGACATGCCCCAGGTTCTCCTGCATGTGAGTTCCTGCACCTGGTCCTTCCAGCTACCGTGTCCCCCTTCCCCGTCTGCCTGCCGCTGTCGCCCTCCCAGCTCCAAGCCGTCTGCTCCCCAAAGCCCTCTCTTGTTCTCCCCAGCTCTCCCCACATCTGGTGCCTTCTGGGTCCTGGGGGTAGGAAGTGACTATCCCAGCCTCTCGCGCACCCCGCCCAGCCGAGGACAGACAGACCAAGCTGGGGGGAGGGGGGCAGGGACTCTGGCCAGGGGGACATGGATGGGAGCTGCCGATACGGGGTGAGAGTGGGAGATGGGAGACCTGGAGAGGCACACGGTCCAGTAAACGGCACGAGGCTTTCAGACCTGGGTGGGAAGGTGGGGAGATTCCTTGTTCTAGAATTGGAGCCCAAGTCAGCCAGCAGGACTGGGCCAGCGCAGGCAGACCTATCTAGGTCTCGGAGGGGGCCTCCTGTCCTCCCACCCCAGCGCCCCCGTCCAGGGTTGTTACAGTGGAGATGCCCCCCAGTGCCCCCGTCCAGGGTTGTTACAGGGGAGATGCCCCCCCTGCGCCCCTGTCCAGGGTTGTTACAGTGGAGATGCTCTCCCCACCCCAGCGCCCCCGTCCAGGGTTGTTACAGTGGAGATGCCCCCCCAGTGCCCCCGTCCAGGGTTGTTACAGTGGAGATGCCCCCCCAGTGCCCCCGTCCAGGGTTGTTACAGTGGAGATGCCCCCCAGTGCTCCCGTCCAGGGTTGTTACAGTGGAGATGCCCCCCCAGGGCCCCGTCCAGGGTTGTTACAGTGGAGATGCCCCCCCTGCGCCCCTGTCCAGGGTTGTTACAGTGGAGATGCCCCCCCAGGGCCCTGTCCAGGGTTGTTACAGTGGAGATGCCCCCCCAGGGCCCCGTCCAGGGTTGTTACAGTGGAGATGCCCCCCCTGCGCCCCTGTCCAGGGTTGTTACAGTGGAGATGCCCCCCAGTGCCCCCGTCCAGGGTTGTTACAGTGGAGATGCTCCCCCCACCCCAGCGCCCCCGTCCAGGGTTGTTACAGTGGAGATGCCCCCCCAGTGCCCCCGTCCAGGGTTGTTACAGTGGAGATGCCCCCCCTGCGCCCCTGTCCAGGGTTGTTACAGTGGAGATGCCCCCCCTGCGCCCCCGTCCAGGGTTGTTACAGTAGAGATGCCCCCCTCACCCCTGAGCCCCTGTCCAGGGTTGTTACAGTGGAGATGCACCCCCTGCGTCCCGTCCAGGGTTGTTACAGTGGAGATGCCCCCCACCCCCACCCCAGGGCCCCGTCCAGGGTTGTTACAGTGGAGACGCTGCAGTGGTCCGTGTTCTCGCTGTGGAAGAGGGCGGTGTCCTTCAGGAACACGGCTCCGGCCTTGAGGATAAAGGTGGCGAACAGCTGGGTGTGGACGTAGTTCCGGGGGCAGTGGAGCCTCCTGCAGGGGGAGGGAGGGGTGAAGAACAGAGGGGGAGGTGGCAGGCGGCAGGTGCGGGAGGCTAGGCGGGGTGGGGGACGGGTGGTGTGAGTTCAATTGACTTGGATTGGCTTAAATTGGGTTGGGCTGACCTTGAGCGTTAGCCTTGCCAGACAGCTGACTACACCTTGTGAAGGCGAGGGGACAGACAACTCCAGTCCCTGCCTTCAGGGAGCTCATAATCTGGGACAGAGGCAGAAACGGCAGGATATTGCCCAGGGGAGCCCCCTGGGTGGTCATGGAGATGAGACTCATCCCCTTGGACAGAAAGCCGCACAGACCAGGTCGTGGGCTCAGACCCTGCAGCCTGGTGGTGGGGAAGGAGCTTTAAAGGCCAACGGTCAAAGGGTTGAAGCGGCCGAGAAGGGCTGCACGGAAGAGGCAGAAAGGTTCTGAGCAGAGGACGGGAGCTGGGCTCGGAACCTGTTCAGCTGTAACTGTCGAGAAGGAAGGAGGCAGCATTGCAAGTAAACGGCGTGAGCCCCTCCTGAGCAGGTGGGGAGCTGGCGGTGAGTCCCGGGAGGGTCTAGCCATGGGGAAGGGAGGGGAAGCTAGAAACAGCCATGGCCGAGATCTGGGGCCTGCTGAATAGCCAGGCACGGAACCAGGCCTGGTGCTGTGGACAACGGGAGGCAGCAACGGTTCTGGAGCAGGTGACGCAGGTGGCGGACCTGAGAGCAACCAGGATGCCGATGGCCACCACGAGAGCCACGATGGACACGCTGTGGCCCAGGGTGTAGATGACCTTCACCGTGGAGAAGTAAGATTTCTGGGGAGAGTGGAGATGGAGAAAGTCAGGAACTGTGCCTTCGGGGGAAGGGACACTTGACAATGTAGCAGGTGAAGCTCTCGGTTCTCCCCGGAAACTCCCCGCCTGGAGCCAGGGGTGTCCCGGGGACCACCGCAAGCTCCCTCTGGAAACTGAAGAGTTTGTTTTTAACCTGTCCTCTGCTTGACCCTCTGCTGGTGGCAGGGGCGGGGACAGGGAGGCTGCGCTCTCAGGACTGCCCTGCAGAAACTCCACGTCCCTGGAGAACGATGGACGCCCGGGAGGAAATTGGGCTTGTTTATTGACATCCAGTTTGCCTGTCGGCTTGGGAACACAATGTCCTCGAATAAAGGGGACAGCCAGCGACAGCCACAGGGAGAAGCTCGTTCTCTGACCGAGTGTTTGGGTCAGGTCGGACTCCAGCTCGGACCCCAGAGACAGGGGTGCAGGCAGAGGATGGGGGCACGGCTCAGCTGTCCTCGGGGAGGCAGTCAAGGCCTCTCTGACTCTGTCTCGTCACCTGAGAAAGGGTCAGACTCAGGCTTTACCCTTCGAGTAAGGGGCGCGGGAGGGCCTCGGAAAAGCCCCGCTGGTGTGGAGGCGTGGGGGTTGCCGGCTACAGTGAGGGCCCTGTAGCCACTGCTGGGCCCGGGCTCCCCTCTCGCCCACACCTTAGTCAAGCGGCTCCACGGCCTGAGGACTAGAAGGGAAGGGGCTGGCCCAGGACGCGAGGAGACTTTGTTTCCCTAAAACCACCCAGGATGCCCTGCCCTGGAGGCCTGGCACAGGGAGGGTATGCCAGGAGATGGTGGCCAGCGCATCTCCAACGCTGCGCCCTGCGTCCCTGCCCCCCTAGCCATGTGGCCCACCTGCCACCTTTGAGCAGATTAGCAAAGACCCCTCTTCCAGACACTGCCACCCTCTGGAATTCTGTTGGAACTGCAGTTCCAACCTGCGGCTACAGTGGGCATGGTGCCCCCACAGCCATGCTGGGCCCCTCACAGACATCCGCGGCGGCCTTTCCTGCAAGGCCTCTTACCTCCTCCCCCAGCAGCTCCAGGGGCACCGGGCAGGCCACGGGATACGGCGGGAAGGGCTCCGACCAGCCTGTCACGGTGCAATCCCGGTTCACGGCCCCTGGGGGGGGGGGGGGCAGAGACCTGGTCACAACTTTCCCCTCTCCCTGGGGGATGGGGGAGCCCTGGCCTCGGGGTGACCCTGGCAGATCCCCTCCAGGCAGCAGAGAGGGGGCCTTCTCTCCGGAGCCCTGGTTCCAGGTCCTGCCTGGGATGGTTCTGGGCCTTCCTCTCTGGCCTCAGAGTCAACATCTGGTAAACAGAGAGAACCGTTCCCTTGAGGGGCTGAGGAGTGAGCTGGCCCTCCCTGCTCCTGGACGGACTGTCCACCCCAGACGCCCAGCCCAGGGACTTGAGCCAGAGTAGTGGGGGCCCTCCCCCCACCCATTAGCAGCTGGTGCCCACTGCACCCACAGCCAGCCCTCCCGATAACATCTTGAGAAGGATGGCAGCGCCAGGCCCTGGGTCCAGCACGCTCCTGCTCTGCTCACGAATCCTCACCCCCAGCGAGGTCACAGGTCAGGAAGCTGAGGTTTGGGAGGTCACACCGAAAGAGAGGAAGGTGCTTAAATCCAGGCCTGCCCACCTCGCACCAGGGATGTGTCTGCCATATCCTGGCTCCTCCAGAGGAAACCCCTCCCCGCCCAGCACCGCGCCCAGGACCTCACCTGGCTCCGCGCTGAAGTGGGAGAAGAAATCGGGGCAGGGCAGCGTCACCCACTCGCCGGAGCCTGCCGCCGGCCAGCACAGCAGCCCGTCCCAGGTCGAGGGGCAGCCTAGACAGAGGGGTGGGAGCAGTGTGGGTTCAGCCCAGGGGACAGCCCTGTCCGCATCCTGAGAGGTGAGGCTGGGGAGCTAGAGGGGCTGAGAAGCCACCCCCACCCGAAGCCCCGTACCCAGGCTGGCGTTGGACAGCCCCTCGGCTGCTTGCAGACAGGCGCTCTCGTCCTCTCTCAGCCGGGGGAGGACGTCGCACTCTGGGTGCACGTGGCCCAGCGCCTGCAGGCAGAGAGCGGGAGGCGCCAAGCCGTTGGGTGGCCTTCCAGGAAGGGAAGGAGGTGGCTGTCAGGAGTTCTCCGAGCCACGGTGCCGCCCGCTTGGTGGGGAGAGACTCCTGCACTGGGGAAGGGCAATGGGGACCCCACTGGGCTCTGGAGGGACACCCCGATACCCCTGTGGCTCCTAGACCTGGAGCCCAGCCAGAGGCAGGAAGGTCCGAGCTGGCTACTCACGATTGGTAGGGGGCTCAGGGAGCAGAGGACGCGAGCACCCCACGCCCGGCTGTCCATGGCGGGAGCTCAGCGGGGCTCCCTCAGGCAGCTCACTGAGCCTGGCCTGTCCCTCCCCTCCCCAGGTGGCTGATTGCATAGGCAGAAGCCAACAAAGGGGACAGAACCAGCTGAATATTCACAGGACTGCAGGACACTGTGCCCAGCTCTGCCCCGGCCCTGGTGTGGGACTGCATGTCCCCAGCTGGTAGGGCTGAGCCCTCCCACCCCCTTCCACGCTGTCTGTAAGTCAGCTTGTGTATCTGTCCTGGAAGCAAGGGCCCAGGGAGGTGGCGACTACAGGACACTTCCTGCCCCAGAAGGTCAATATTCTTTACCACTCTGCTGGTCCACACTGGAGAGAGCCCTCTGTCCCCGCCCCAAATGAAGGAGACACAGAGAAGCCAGAGACAGGGGCTTGGTTGGTGATCCCAGCCTCATCTCAGGGCTGGAGGGTGGGCTCAGGGCTGTGGGGACCCGGCAGGGGTACGGTGGGTAGGGTGTCAGTGGGGTACAGAGAGGAGAATGAGGGGTGATCACGCACCTGCATGGGCCCAGAAGGTGTCATATCGGCAGGGCCTCGTTTCTGTCCCAGGCAAGGATGCCGCCTGGACGACGAGGTGACGCCTGCAGGTACCAAACCTCTGGACTCCACCGGGGCGGAGGGTGCTGGTCAGTCTTTCCAGAAGTCCTTGTGGCATTGGGGAGAAGTGAGGCTGGGCGAGGGCTCCACTGCCACCCATGCACTAGCCAAGCTGAGTGGGGCAGACCGTCCTCAGCAGCAGAAGCAAGAGAACTGAAGTGATTTTTCACATTTGTCGCCCGGTCGTTTTTATTATACTTTCAGACCGTAAAATGTGGAAGCCCAACTGGCCACGCTAAAGACAGTGTCTAAATGGCCCTGGGTCCTGCACAGCATTCTGGGATTTGCAAGCACATTTTAATGGCCCAGTGCTTGGGAGGTCCTGACAGTGGTGTCCCCAGAGCTCACTGGGCTGGACGCGGGTGACACCAGACGTGTTTACAGCAGACTCGAATGATGAATGATGAAGGCCCCCGCCCCCACCACATCTGGGCCGAGGAGTCGTTTTGCATCAGCAGGGTCTTACGTTTCCATCTGTCTGCATCAGCAACAAGGTGGTGAAGAAAAGTCTGTTGAAAAGAAAACACGAGCCACCCCAAGCCCAGGACGCCGACCCTGCACCAGTGTTCACATGTGCTTCCCAAGAACACACTGCCACCAGGGTGCACACACAGCTCCTGATGCGAGGGGGACTCGCAGGCTGGGACAGCAGAGCCCCAGGCGGTGACTCAGAGGGAAAGCTAGAACCTCTGTCCTTCAGCTACGAAGAGGCAAAAGCCCAAGGACAAATGTTACCATTAATCACAGTTGATAATTAGTGTCTGTGTCATTAGCATTAATGATGGTTAATCATTGATATTGATACTTAATAATAATTATTATTATCTGAATTAGTTGTCCTTAACAGGAAACAATCTATCCCCCAGGGAACATTTGGCAATGACTAGAGACAGTTTTCATGATCACAGCCAGGGGTCGAGGTCAAGGGTAAGGAGGAGGGAGAGGTGGGAAGGTGATATTGATGGGTGATGGGTAAGGACCAGGGATGCTGGATGCCCTGAACCACAGAACAAATTATCCAGTTCACAGGGTCCATAGGACTAAGGTTGAGAAACTGATCTAAGTGCTCATGTTCCCCAAGGGTTCCGCCAGGCCGTGTCTCTTCTGAACAGGCCAAAGAGGCTCACTGAATTCCCATCTGTCACTATTTCTACTCAGGCTTCAAATCCTGCGCCAGCACTTGCTGGCTATGTGACTTCGGAAAGTTGTTTAACCCGAGACTCAGTTTCCCCAGCTGATAAATGGGGATGAAACCTTACTTCAGGGAGAGACTACTGTACGGGGCCTCGCCCACAGTGGACATTTGTTAACGGTAGCACGTAAAAAGGAGACTCTCAGTAAATAAGGTTAGAACAATCGAGTCTTTTATGGAAAAAATAAGGTTAGATTTCTAGCTCATATTTACGAAATTCCAGAAGCTTTAAAGCCCTAATCAGCCCTGGCCGGTGTGGCTCAGCAGTCAGAGCGTCGGCCTGCGGTCCCAAGAGACCCGGGTTCGGTTCCCGCTAAGGGCACGTACCTCAGTTGCAGTTTGTCCCCAGCCCTGGTTGGGTCAGGTGGGTGGCAGCCACTTGATGTGTCCCTTTCACGTCGATGTTTCTCTCTCTTTCTTCCTCTCTGTCCCTCCCGCTCTATCTGAAAAAAGAATAGAAAAATGTCCTCCGGTGAGGATAAAAGAATAAATAAATAAAATAAATAGATAAATAAAGCTCTAATCATAAAACAACAAAATACAATTGTTTTCCAAATTTGTTTTTATGGCCTTAGAAGAAAGGAGACTTTCTAAATAAAAAATTAAAAACTATACATAAAAGATTAATAAATTTGACCACATCAACAATTTTTAAAATGCATGTTCAAGAGAGGACAAATAGGCACACTACAAGCAAGCTACAGACTGATAGAATATTTGCAACCAATAATGGCAAATAAAGAGTTATCAAAAAATATTTTTAAACTATCTACAAATCAATAATAAAGAGAAAAATAATCCAACAGAAAAGTGAGTGAAGGATATGAATAGCAACTCAGAAAATATGTAACACATAAGACCAATAAACAGAAAGAGATGCTCAACATCACTAATACTAAAAAAATAATAATAATAATTAAAATGACGACTTCCCTTTTTCACTAATCACATCGCCTAAAATTTTAACATCTGATAATACGATATTTGGAAAATAATGTGGGGAAATGATACTTTTATCCTGTGCAGATGGGAGTGAACATGGGTACGCCCACTTTGAAAAGCAATTTGATATGATCTGTTCAATCTACCTTTGAATATACCCTACAGGCCAGAAGTTCCATAGCTGGATATTTGCCCCAGAGGGCAGTATTTTTTATAAAATGTCGTAAAAACCAGAAAACAACACAAATGTCCAACAGCAATAGAATAGCTAAGTACAATGTGATACACTCACAAATGACATCCTACAGGGCATTGAAAGGATACGTTAAATCTATTTATATCCACATGGAGAGAGTTTAAAATAACATATGTGAGGAACTTCTGCTTCCAGCCAAGACAGAACAACAGGGACGGGTTTATCCTCCTTCTGCCTCAAAAACAACAAATCCAAACAGAAGATTGCGTTTTACCACGTGAAGGGAAAGAGCACCCACGATCATCTCAATCGATGCAGACAAAGCATTTGACAGCCTCTAACACCCTTTCAAGATAAGAACACTCAATATATTAAGAATAGAGTGAGCTTCCCTAAGATGAGGAACAAAGAAGGAGGTCTGGTCTCTCCACTTCTATTCAACCCAGTACTAGAAGTTCTAGCCAGAATAATTGGGCAAGAAAAAGAAATAAAAGGTACTCAGCCCTGGCCAGTTTGGCTCAGCCGTTAGAGCATTGGCTTATGAACCAAAGGGTTGAAGGTCCCCAGTCAAGGGCATGTACCTGGGGTGCAGGTTTGATCCCCAGCCCCAGTCAGGGTCGTGCAGGAGGCAACCAATCGATGCATCTCTCTCACATTGATGTTTCTCTCTCTCTCCCTACCTCCCTTCCACTCTATCTATTTTTTTTTTTTTTTTTTTTTTTATCCTCACCCGAGGACATTTTTCCATTTTTTGTTCAGATAGAGTGGGAGGGAGAGAAAGGAACAGAGAGAGAGAGAGAAACATCGACGTGAAAGGACACATCGAGTGGCTGCCACCCGCACGACCGACCAGGGCCGGGGACAAACTGCAACCGAGGTACACGCCCTTAGCAGGAACCGAACCCAGGTCTCTCAGGACCGCAGGCCGACGCTCTAACCGCTGAGCCAAACCGGCCAGGGCCCACTCTATCTTTTAAAAAAATCAATGGAAAAATAAGCCCAGGTAAGGATTAAAAGAAAAAGATACCCAAATTGGAAAAAATAAATAAAAGTATCTCTGTTCACAGATGACATGATCTTACATGTAAAAAAGTCTAAAGAACGTATATACACACAATTATTAGGCTTAATAAACAAATTCAACAAAGTTACAGGATACAAAATCAACATGCAAAAATCAGTTGCTATTCTATACACTAACAACAATCTGAAAAGGAAATTAAGAAAACCATTCCATTTGCAAGAGCATCAAAAAGAATAATGTACTTTGGAGTAAATTTAACCAAGGAGGTGAGAAAGGCTTTTACATAAAAACTACATAACATTACTGAAAGAAATTAAAGGTTTAAAAAGAAAAAGATCTAAAGGAAGGGAAAGATACCTCGTGTTCAGGAATTGAAAGACAATATTGTTAAATTAACAGTACTTCCCAGACTGATATAGAGATTCAATGTGCGATCCTTATAAAAATCTAAATAGCATTTTTTTTTCAGATTTAGAAAAACCCATACTAAAATTCATATGGAATTTCAAGGGACTCTGAGAAGTCAAAACAATCTTGAAAAAAAGAAACACATTTAGAAGCCTCACGCTTCCTAATTTCAAAACTTACTAGAAAGCTACAGCAATCAAAGCAGTGTGCTACTGGCAGAAATATAGAGATAAAACCCAGTGGAATAGAATAGAGAACCAAAAAGAAACCCTTACATATATATGGCCAATCGATTTTTTTTGACAAGGCTACCAGGACTATTCAATGGGTAAAAGTACAATGTTTTCAACAAACAGTGCTGGAAAAACTAAGTACCACATGCAAAAATGAAGTTGGATCCTTCCTTACCTTATACCATATACAAAATTAACTCGAAATGAATGAAGACCTAAATTAAAGAGTTAAGACTAAAATTCTTAGTGGAAAACACAGGGGAAAATCCTCATTACCTTGGATTTCACAGTGGTTTTTTAAATCTAGTACTCAAAATCCTGGAAACACGAGGAAAGGAGAGAGGTTGGATGCCACTAAAATGAAAAACTTTTGTGCAGCCAAG